ATATCTGTTGCTTTGGCTTTTAGGTGAACATCTGAAATGATCTGTATCATCTCGTTTTCGAGAGAAGACAAATCCATGTCAAAAGTGTTCGATATTTCAGAAGCAGTAATTTCAACATCCACACAAGAAAAAGGATAAATCATGAAAGTAACAACGTTCGTCAATTTTTGTAAGTCAGAAAAACGTCTTTCAAACTCGCTGAGAATATTTCCAAGTTCTGTTTCGTATTTATTATAATTTATTACGGCGCTTGTTTTTGCTTTCAAACACGCAAAATTTTTCAAGTCCTTTTTTTTCAGTTGGTTGATCAGAAGCTGCAATTTACTTTTAAATGAGTTAATTGTGCTAATCATGTCCATAATAGTTTTATCTTTCCCTTGTAGCTCCAGGTTTATAGAATTCAAATGACCAGTCACATCAGTAAGGAAAGCCAAATCACACAGCCAACTTTCACTTTTAAGAATCTCCGTGTCATCACCCCTTTGATCCAGAAAAGAAATGATTTCAGGTAGTAATTCTTGAAACCGTTCTAAGAACTTTCCCCGGCTCAGCCACCTTACGTCTGTATGGAGCAATAAATCTGTGTGCTCAGATTCGCTGGCCTCCAATTGCACTTTGAAGAGGCGTCGTTGCAAGCTTCTGGCTCGTATAGAATTTACGATCTTCATAGTGATGCTCATCACATCTGCCATGTTCAGTACTTTCGAACACAACACCTGCTGATGAATGACGCAATGAAAAGAAAAAAAAGATGGGAAGTCTTCATTAGCTCTGCACAGTGCCACAAATCCATTAGTCTTTCCAGTCATTGATGGTGCTCCATCTGTTGTTATGCACACTAGTTTATACAGAGGCAGCTCGTAGTTTTTCGCAAAACTTAGAAAAGCATCGTATATGTCTGAACCGCGAGTGGTTTCTTTCAAAGGTATGATTGTTAAGAACTCTTCTTTAGACGACGTATCTGGAAATGCCATCCGAATAAACACACATAGCTGGGCAGTGTCAATCATATCAGTGGATTCATCAAATTGTAAAGAAAAGAATGAACATCTCATAATATCACTTTTTAGCTTTTGCTCGATATCACTGTTCATGAGCTCAACACGTCTAGTTACAGTCCGACGAGACAACTGGAGCTCTTTTATGGCAGACATGATTTCAGTTTTATTTTTAAAGTCGCCAAATAATGAATTTGCGCCTTCGAGAAATGCTTTTTTCAATACCTCGCCATCTTCAAAGGGTTTTTTGTGTTTTGCCAATATATGAGATATTTTGAAGGACGCAACTGTCGCAGCTTCCGATTGTTTACTTGGCCTGGTAAACATAGCTTGCTCGGCCTTCAAGCTACCTTTCAGATCTTGAACTTTCTGACGTCTTATTTCACTTTTGAGAGGAAAATCACTTTCGTAAATTTTATGCAAGGATTTATGATGCCTTTCTAAGTTGCCGCGTTTAGGCAAAGCTACTGAAGCTCGACAAACAAGACAAATACACTTGTCTTTCACCATGGTAAATAAGAATTCTTCTTCCCATTCATCGTTGAAATGATAAGTTTTACTTTTTTTTGGCGCACTCATTTTAAATAATAGTTACCAACTTCACTCTCTCCTTTAGTTACCCTCAGTACAAAATATATTCATGAGCAGCACGAAGTCACACGATCACGAAAGTTATTGGGAAACATAAACAAGTACAGAATCCAGAATCACGACATGACGTCTCACCGAAACCAAAATCTGTGCGAGACTGGCGAACACGTGCCGGCCGTCGGCAATTGTCAAAGCAAAGTAAATCGGGCGGCAAGCATAAAGCTAATTCGCCGCCCGCACAGGTCAAAGGACGCCGCCGCGCCGTTTAACGAGCCGACACCGGCACACGTGCACAGTACAGCCGCAAATAAATCTGGTGCCTTCTTATTTCATATCGACATTTTCGCAGTGAAAGGTTGTTTGTTGACAAGTATTTTCTTCTTAAAGTTACGCGCGTGTAAAATAAAATGTTTTTTATGAACGCACTTTAGATACTGGTATTTTGACTGGTGAAAAGACCACTGTTATTGGAATTAGCCCAACACGTCAGTACATTTTTAGGAATGCGATCGACCATAGATTCCCTTGCGATCGACCGGTCGATCGCGATCTTTAACCCCTTATTTTTTTTATAGAATTTTTATATAAGTCAAGTGAATAGTGAAATAAATCGATCGCAAATTACCTCGACATTTTGACAATTTACAAATTTTCTCCTATTAGGAATTCTTCAACCTAATCTAGAAGGAATTTCTATATTCCATACCTACGAAGAATTACATTCACATTATATGTGAGAGAGAGAGAGAGAGAGAGGGAGAGAGAGAGAGAGAGAGAGAGAGAGAGAGAGAGAGAGAGATTTAGTTACAGACATGAGACAAACTACAAACATACAAAAGGTTTTTAAATGATACAATTACTTTAAAAAGAAGAAATGATACATAGGGCTGGATTGATTTTTGTGTCTCACGGCCGCAACAAAAAAGGTAGCCAATTCAGCATTTTGTCAGGTCCTTATCGAACCCGACGCTAAAAATTTAAAAAAAACAGTCCAAAAAACTACATATAAACAACAATTATCACATTTACCATTATACTATTTAGTATTATTAATCAATATTTTATTATTAATTATTATTACATTATTCATAATTTACTCTATCAACTTATCAATTGCTAAATATTAATATAAATATTACAATACATTAAATGTTGTTCAAAATATAGGTATATAAATACATTTGACTAGACTCAATATACTTCCGACCACAACACAGTGTGCAAGCTAAATATATGAATGATCGCCATTATAAAGTTCCATGTCGACCTGAGCAGTTATAAGGAATCTTCTTAAATGTTTTTTAAAAATCGCAGTGGAATTTAGTAGCCTTAAAGGAGGTGGAATATTATTCCATATTTTTGATGCAGAATAACGAAAAGAACCCCTAAAATAGTCCTGTGTGTTTCAGTCAGTAGCATTTTAGAGCAATGTTGCCTCTCACATTTCCTACTACTACCGACCCAATCTAGTTTATCATACCGATAAGATAATTTCACAATTCCAAACATACACACGCTTAGTGAAGTTTGCGTCTTGATTTCATTTTGAGTATTAGATGATCATTTAAAAACTGAGTCACGTGACTTCTCAGAGGGATTGAAAAACAATAGCGGGCACAAGCATTTTGAACGCGCTGTATAAGTCGTTCCGTCCTTGATAGTAGTCTTGGGCCATAAACTGTATCAGCATAATTTAGTTTAGACAAAACTAATGACTCTGCTAGCTGTACACGTAGTTCCTCGGACAGGAACGGTCTAATTTTATAAATTACCTTAAGTCGATAGAAGCAGTTTCTAACCAACTCTGCTATATGCTCCTCAAATCTCAAACTCACGTCAATTTTCAAACCCAGATTACGAGCTACAGTGACTCCAGTTCCAGACTCCAGAACTACAGTTCTATGTGAATAAATTATGCATTTATATTTTGGCCTACAAATAGTATTCAATTCATTCAAAGTTGAAAAATTATTTGATAATTGATATCAGTGGGATATATATGGAAGCTAATTTAAAATCAAATGTAGCAGAAAATATTTGGCACAATTCAAACAGGCATGAACTCCATAAAATTAAGATTTTATTATGACGATAACTACTTCAGCAAAGCGCACCCAGAAATAGAATTCGATATTGATACTTTGAGAATAGAATAGGCTACTTGACACATATCTAATTTTGTACAATACATGTATATTTCCCATAGTATTGGCTTGGAAAAACAAATTATATAAGATTTTATCATTAACATTAATTTAAAGATTCAATTAAACTTTTTTGTTTTTTTTTTATTTAAAACATCAATGTCATTTAGCGTAGAATGGTTTTATATTATTTTTAATGGTTTAGTTTATTGTAGCTCGGTGGCGTAGTGGATAAGCGCCGCGGCCCGCGATCGTAGTCGTAAAGCAACTTCCGCAAGGGTCGGTCACGGGATGGGTGATCAAAAAAATATTATCTCGACCTACTCCGTGCCTCAGAAGGCACGATAAGCCGTTGGTCCCGGCTGTGTCTGCAGTCGTTAATATCCTCCAATCCGCATTGGGCCAGCGTGGAGGGTCATGGCCCATCCTCCTTAACCATCCGTAGGGGAGGCCTGAGCCCCTACAGTGGGGACGTAAAAGGGCTGGTGATGATGAGGAATGGTTTAGTATATCAAATATTAACCGTTTAAGACGTACTTAAAAAGACTCAAATAGCCTATTCAAACATTGCAATACTTTGTATCCATATTCCATAGGTACTATTATAATGCATTAACTTGTCACAGCTTGACCCAATAAAAAAATTGGAACAATATTGTGTGGTGCGTTAATCTTAAGAACCTTATTGTATGGGTTTCTTGGTCTTTATTAAAAATCTTAGAACTTTATTGCACAGACTAGCTTTCCGCCAGCGGCTTCGCCCGCGTGGTCTTGTATTATACATAAAAACCTTCCTTTTGAATCACCCTATTTATGAAAAAAATCGGATCAAAATCCGTTGTGTTGATTTCAAGTTTTAAGCATCCATAGGGACATAGGGACAGAGAAAGTGACTTTATATTATACTATGTGGTGATTTTTTAAAAAGCTCTGAAAATATTTAAGCAATTTAGAAGAATTAAGTTTGATTGTCGCTATTTGTATTTATTTATTTATTTAATTTCATTATGTTTATTTTATAAATTTTTCAATAAAATTAAAAATAATACTTAAGCAATTTAGAAGAATAAATTTTATTGAAGTAGAGAACCTGTTCCAGGTATACAAATGTTTTTAGGTTTTTTTTTGTTTTTATTGAGATTTATGTTACTCCAATTATAAAGATATAACTATCATAATTGTTATACATACTATTTCATTTAAATATAAAAGATACCTTAGATTTTTAGACATGTTATATTATAGTTTTCCCTTTTTCTTTCTTCTTAAAGACTTGTGCCGTAGCAGAAACAATTGTTTAGAATAAATCACTAGGAGGCAAAAATGAAGTCATGGGTATAGGTTACAAATATAAAGTTTTATTAAAAAAGAAAAGAAATTATAAAATGGAAATAAATATAATAACTTATCCTAAACTTATGTACAAAATCATCTTGCTACATGGAACAGTGGGTTGCAGACAAACAGATATAGTTACACACTACGTAGATACATATGGTCTCCTTGTAACATGAGACGTAGCACTACCACGCTTGATAGATCTTCCAAAAACTTTTTAGTTCACAGCAGTGTCCGCGTATTACTCAGTTTTGTACACAAATCTTATAAATAATATCACTTGGAACAGAATTGAAGCGAAGTGCTCACTTGCCGAGCAGGATTTTGCGACCAGCGCCCATGTTCTGGCCAGCCTGAGTAGCTCCTTTGTTAGAACCGGCCTGGAGGCCAATCACTGTCTGGCCAGCCTTTAGCACCTCCTCTGAGAAGTCACGCTTGCTCTCTTCAGCGGGCTTGGGTCCAAGGTAAGGGCCGCTCCATTCGGGGTGCCTGTAGGTCTGTGAACAAAGACAATTTTTCTTAACAACTTGTATTATAATCTATTACATGACACTTTAATAACCCTCACTCGGCCTCAACATGAGTACGTGGCCTTGGATATTTATGAAAATCGAGGTAATGTAACATGCTCGTAAATCTCTGTTGAACTTGGCGAACATCCAACTCCTCAAACGCGAAATATATCGCGAGGAATATGTTGTGTAAACGCGTTCTTTTAAGATTCGGCAAACTATTCTCGGAATTTTATGATAAACAAATATGGAGCCGTACTCGTACGGTTTGTTTAGTGTTCAGGCATATTATTTTTTTAGGACTGAATGTATACCGAAATTATATACTCACTATAATTATAACCATTCACAAATTTATTATATAACTGAAGATTTATTGAACTCACCTCACGACCAAGAGCAAAAAGTGTGCTGACGACCTGAGCGATGTCCTTCTTTTCCCAAAGGTCGACGGTCTGGAAAACATCTATGTCAGGGACACCATAGGCTTTTATAGCGGCCTGGAAGCTGTAAAAACATATTTTTTTCTTATAAATAAAATAATATAAAATAATTGAATGATTGTGAAAATTAATAATCTCGGCAATAAAAATAAAAGAGGCTCGACTCATTCATTTATGTTTTTCTTGTTTTTTCTATTATTTTTAACTAATTTTGAGTATTTCATTATTAACACATCTATTATTTTAAATAACTTCGAGTATATCATTGAACATTGGGTTTTACTTTTAGTTCAAATGTTGTTTTTAGGAAACTCACAACCAGTGTAACTTACTTTGTAATGTTCTCCATCATCTTGAATTGTCCACCAGAGGTGTTGATCTTGGCGACGGAGCCAGGCTTCAGCTTATTAACGAGCTGGCAGAGGACAGTGCCGTCCTTGAGGACATCCTCGAAAGCTTCACCGGGGGGGAATTTAGCGCCAAGGACCGTTTCGATCCATTCTTGGGCTTCCCTCTCCTGCTCGGGGTTACGCTTGGAAGCGAGCTGAGTAAAATTTGATATTAAAACTATATACTTATATAAATGACGCGGCAAGAAAATGACTTTGTATTTCCAAAAGAATTAGCTTTTCACGATTTGTATCTTTATAGTATAGAATAGATTTCGTGTAGTCATTAAACAGGTATTAATACATGAAAATATTTATATTTATAATATCATTGAACCTACTTTTCTTAAATTAAATCTATTCAGAGCTTATTAAAAACTTTTCACTATAGTAAATAGTTTGAACTTATTAATTTGGTATTATTTGGCTCTATGTGAAAAATGTTTTTACATATTAAATAAAACAACAGAAACTTAGCACGCCACTACTTTAAAAAAAGGTATTATTATTCAATAATTCACCAACATTTAAAAGTAAAATAAGAAAAATTTCAGAATATTATGATGAAAAGTTTAATAAAAATAAATATATATATATTTCGATTAAGTCAAAAAGAAAACTTTTAATAATTACCTTAGCACGAACTTGACGTTCCAGAGACATGTTGTGTAGTGTGTGTTTGTCTGTTACCGAAGCGTGGTGTGCGACTGAAAGCTCTCCTAGACTGAACTCCTGTAAGCTGAGTCCACGTATTTATAGCTCACAAGTACCGCCCTTCTGGAATACTCGCTCGTGCGCCCGCGCCGTCATCTCTACAGAATAAGCTCTGACTCAACAGCCTTAAATCAAGTTCCATTAAATAATACTTACTACCATATTTCCAATACCGAAAATAATTTAAAAAATTGATAGGTATTTTTCCACAAAATATCGCTCCCAATTTTTTTTATTTACAATAGGCACATTATATCATGAAGTAATGAAATATATAAGTACTAAACTGAATACGATTATTCTCGTTATTACTTCAATCCCCATGTAAATAAATACAGCATAATTGTGATAAAAATAGAAAACAAAAGAGATTCTATAATAATCTGACCTAAGATAATGTGAATATTATTTTAAACAATAAAGTGTCTAAGAATAGAGTTCAAAACCTCAGAGATAACATTATCGAGCTAAACTTAGGTCTTAAATTCTATTTAATCATTATAAAACTAGCTGTTGCCGGCGACTTCGTCCGCAAGGTTACTATTAAGAAGTTTAATGCAAACTTTATTTTGTAAATGTTTGTTGAACGTATAGGATAGCGAAAGCAGTTATTTTCGCTTAAACCGACCTCGCTGTATCTGTTTCATAGATACTATTAACCTCAAAACAAACCCTAACGCGTTGACTTTCGTAAAATCTAGTAAAGAACTAGATACGTGCATGAACTATATAAGTATTCATCAGCTTTACTACTTTAAAGAGAAGAAACTTACAATTAAGTATTTCCGTAGAATAGAACCTATGCCAAACTTTAGCCTCCCAACTATTACCACACAGAAATCAAATCATACCAACGCATAGTTTAATATATTTGCTCTTTAATAAGATCACAAAATTATCTTCATACTGTGAACTCATAAAAAGTTAAGAGCTTTGCTATAATGCATTACATTAATTTGATATCATTCTATTTTTAAAGTTGACTTCAAATTGTTTTCATATCTAAGATAATTTTAACCCAAACGATAGAAAAGAAAAATAAGTTATTATGCCCTTTATATAAGTAGGTAAATTATAAAAATTATCTATTTTGTGTAAAAGTGTCTTTTTCGTTGTGTAAATTCATATTCAAGAAGGAAAACATATTTTTCAGCTATCTATTCTATATTTAAGGTATTATTCACTCAATACTCTTTGATGATACTTTGTTTTTTTTTTAATGGAACTAAAATCGGCTATCTCAATGATTCAGCATTGTAGCACCCAACACTGCTTCTGATGTACATAAAATCTTCATGGACATGATTTTAACATAATCATAAGGACGTCTCGAAATTTGCTGAATTTTCTTTCGCGGACAAACAGAGAAGGTGCTCAAGGGGTGCCACCTCCTACCTCTATAGCCATGTGATAAGACATCGTAATAATATTATGCCGATATTTCGTTTCATTTTAATAATTTTCTTTGTCTACTGAAGCACGGGGGATTTCGAGATAATAATATTTTGGTCATCACCTGTCAAAGATCAAAGGACCGGTGAGAAACCTTCCGCAATCAAGACTTCGGACGCTATCCACTGTGCCGTTATCGCGCGCTCACATCTCTATTTATGGTAATAGAATACCATAAGCATAGGAACTACGAACTGAAACAAGGAGCACTACATGCTTTGGGCTTTGAATTAACTAAATTTACTATCATTATCAGCCTATACATTTTACTAATTCTGGGGCAGAGATAAACCTGTATGTAATCAAAAAACAAACGTAGACCAATCGTACTCGCGCCCTAAGGTTCAGTGCCAATATTAAATAAAGGTATATTTCTTTCATCATAAATAATATTTTTTTTTTCATCGTTAAAAAGTAAAAAATAAATAAAACGTGTTTTGAAATATATGTCTAGTAGCTTCGATTTAAATTTTCTATTACAAATGTTTTCACATTTTACCTTGAACTCATAATATAAAATAAAAATATATAATTCAATGAAACATTTCTCGTTACATTTTTAGGTCTTTATTATATACTCACGTGTCGTTTTTAAACGAAACGCAAGAGAATCATAGGTAATTATGATCTTAATTAGATGCAATAAGTATAATGACGAAAAAGCAGGATAAATATTTATTAATTTTATAGTCATTTATTTCATTCTTCATAAACAAATGTACATAGGCGGACTTAATGCCTAAGACATTATCTACCAGTCCAGTTGGGGTGATTAGTAGACAGTGTGGTAAGGTATGCAAGCAAAAACAATTTAAAAAACTAGAAGTTAGTACAAATATTCAAAACATGCATAATACATAGATAATAAGAATACATAAATAATATTATAATAATTAATATACGTAGACATTTACATAAATATAATATAATACAACGACTAATCACTCAAGGAACCAGCTTTTTACAAGATAAAACTGTGTAACTTTGTTTTGAACGCGTACCAGCCAGTGGACGTTTTAAGGTCTAAGGGGAGAGAATTTTATAAGAGAATAGACTTAACAAAGAAGGATGAATGAGTAACATCTGAGTGATGAGAACAGAAAAGCATATAATTTGAAGATGAACGCTGATTTTACTGTGACTTGTGCATAAGTATTGAAAGTGAGATACAAAATAGGAAGGGGCATTAGGTGAATCTAGTAATAAAAAGATGGTCAGTGTATACATAGATCTACGCTGCCGAGTGGAATCCATTTAAGATGAGATCAATATTTGAGTCCGTGATCATATTTTCGCAGATTCTTAAAGTATCGAACGCAGTTATTCAGAAGACGGTCAAGTTTATTGAGTAGATCTGCATTCAGATCGTGATAGCACACATCACCATAGTCGATTGCAGGAAAGATTAAGGTCTACATAAACGTTGTTTTGATGTTGGTTGGCAAAAAATTATTCATTCGATAGAGGGCTCGCAACGCTCCAGTAGCTTTTTTTTTCAAACGCTGGCTACTTGGACCTGCCAGTTTAAATTGGAGTCAAGTATTAGTCCGAGGTCCTTCACACTGTCGCTAAATGGAATCAAAGTACCATCATAAACCAAAGCGCGTAGATAGTTTGCTTTTATTTCTGTGAAAGCAGTAATAAAAATTATCAAAAGTCATACATCAAAAGTTGTTATTTGTGTGAGCTATTTATAATGTTAGCGTAATTATAGAAAGTCCATAGCGTCAAATTCAACTCTTTATGACACAGTTCACGTTACTAGATCACAGAATAATAAATATAACTGTTACCAATGATTTTTTAAGAGTACATTGCACTAAAAATATTAGGACTTCAGGTAGAAGTACAACGGCAAAATACAAGTCGTTGAGATTCTATTACATTGCAATTATTATGTAAAGATTAGCAGAATTTAGGCTCTAGTCCTATGAGGTTGTTGGTGTTTTACAAGTAACCCTGTATAAACATCTGATGTCTCAAAGCCGGTTTAAAATTAATAACTTGAAATAGCTATATTGTATCGGTTGTAAGATATAAGCAAAGTCTATAAAATATACTTGAATATGTTCTAAAGTATATTTAAAGTAATTATTTTATTAAATCAATTACAAAATTTTAACTAATATAATTAAGTTATATATATATATATAAATAAGCGCTAAAAGCCTTTTAAAGTTCGAGTGGTATAATGAATGGATGAATGTATTCAAATTTTTTCCGTTAACACGCTAGTTTTAAAAATATTAAGTTTCTCAGATGTTCTTACATTCATTAATGTGAGAACGGAATCTGAAAATTTAAGTAGCACCATAGTCACCTCTATAATATTTTGAATCTACCAAACATTCGATTAAACGAGTAATTTTAAGAAAAATGTGTTGGCAACCCTGAGATATCATTGAGGACCCGCTGAGTTATCATTGTCGACGATGCCCACGCTTGGTCTATGCAAACTGTCGTACGAAAATAAAATAAATACCTACCTTGATTCTTCGCCTTGAATATTTCGGTTCAATGCAAGCACTCATCGTTTCATGATTCATTGTGAAAGAATTGGAATGAGACCTTTTTTCTTAATCAATAATACTTTTTAAACTGAAAATGTTCTATTTCAATAGATTAATAATAAAATATCTATCAAATGGTAATTTGGAAAGGTGGAGATTTTCGTTTCTACATGATAGGAGTCAAACAAGTTTTAATAAAGATTTGTTGGTCGATATATGTTACATTATTATCTAAAACAAAGAATTAGGTAATTATTTTACGCATTAACAAAATCGCGAACAATACTAACTTGGATAAATGATTTTTGGCACGTCTGACCATGTTGACATTAAAGCAACCTGTTCTTTGTCAAATCAATGTAACACTATCATTTTCTCACACTTCAACAGTCTCAGCTGTTAATCCATAAAAACCGAAACGATATTTGAAAATTAATATCGTAAGGAAACCGTAAGTAAACATTCCAAATCGTTTTCAAATATTCTGGCTATGTGTGTAACATATTGGTGTTACAGTTACACCCAATGTGATGTATGTTAGTACGTAGTAACTAAAAGCCGCACTGACCTTTAGCTATTTTTTATAGTTACGGCACACTTTATAAACCATTCTAGGCAATTAAAATGTCATTGTCCTCATTGTTTTATTATTTTTATGTAATATAATGTCAATGTGTCCCAATCGTACAAATAAATTTTCATCAATCTATCTTAATTGCTATTTCTGTAGTCATTAAAAGATTACAGTAAAAAAACATATAAAATACACTTGGAATATACTCTAATGCATGTATAGAGTAATTATTATTTAAAACATTTTCATTTTTCGATTATTGTATTTTTCTTGTTTTTATTTATTTCTAAGTATTTAAAATTTAAATCTTTATGTGTGATAGATAAAATTTTTAAATCTTTGATTTCAGATAATATTTTAAAAAAGCCCTGGGCAAATCCCGATTCAATATGTGTTAGCAGTGATCCAGATGCATCAAGAAACCAATCACTTCACATCACTCTGTATTCAATAAAGTTGGTATGCTTGAATAAATG